TTTATTTTTTTTTAAAAGTAATATAAATAAACACATAAATTATCTTTAAATTCTTATATTGAAGAAAATATCAAAAAATAAAAATTATTTCAAAATAAAAAAAAGTAAATAAGTTTTTTATTTTATAATTCACTTAATTACATACCAAAACAGTAGGATGGTACCCCAAAAAAAAAAAAATCCTAATTATAATTTAATTTCCTGCTCATCAGCTATCGAGGGTGATAGATTCATTGCTCGGGACATCGGATTCCAAAACAAAGCTGGTCCTAATGGACAACAGGCAGTGGCTCTCTATGTTAACTCAGACAAGGCCGTTTTCTTCAGGTGCAGCATGGACGGATACCAAGACACTGTTTATGCCTTTGCTCTGCGCCAGTTCTACCGGGATTGTGACATCTATGGCACAATTGACTTCATATTTGGAAACGCAGCGGCCGTTTTCCAAGCCTGCCAGTTGGTTCTCCGCCATCCCCGCAAAGGTGCAAGCTTCAATACGATTCTGGCAAACGCACGCTCCGACCCGGGGCAGAAAACTGGATTCTCTGTTCAGAATTGTCAAATAACGGTCAGTTCAGATTTTTCTCCGGTCAAGCACGACTACGATTCCTATCTGGGTCGGCCCTGGAAGGCGTATTCTAGATCGGTCGTGATGCAATCGACGTTGGATGATGCGATTTCTTCAAGGGGTTGGGTTGAGTGGCCTGGCCAAGAGAGCTCTCGAACGAAAACTCTCTATTTTGCAGAATTCGCCAACAAGGGACCCGGAGCCGAAACTTCAGGCAGAGTAACTTGGCCGGGATTTCATGTTATTGGAGCCGATGAGGCAGCCGAATTCACCGTCAGTAATTTCATTGCTGGAACTTCATGGCTGCCGTCGACCGGAGCAACTTTTACCCCCGGCCTCTAGTGATTAAGTCAATTAAAAGCATGTTTTTATGGTAAGAAATGGTAGTCAGGGGATTGTCTTAGTTATGCTGGAAGAAGAAATGTCAAGCATGAGCTAAAAAAAATGGAGAAGCTCTCCTTTGTGCTCATGAATAAGATATATTGTTTAGGGTTTGGTTTATAAAAAAGTGAAGTGTAGTCTGCGCTAGCGCGGACTGCACTTCAGTTAATAGTCCCATCTTTAATCTTTTTCGTGCTTAATTCTACTTTGCAAAAACATGTAAATAATGTGATCCTTAATATATTTATGAAAGTGTGACTTGCTTTTCATGTTTTGTTTCATTTTTCTTGTTGGTGCCCATGTTTGAATCAGGATTTCACTATCTTAACACCTTCTCTTCAGAGGGAGTGGCTATCAGGTCATAAGATGCTGGACACTTTTGGTGTCATTATTAATATTATCAAGCTTTAAGATTTAATACTATTCAATTTTATAGTTGGAATGCACTAAATCTTATAAGTCACTTGATAATTACATCTAATACATTGACAATAATCAAAATTTAAATCATGGTGTTGGTGCTGTCATGTTACAATTTTCTATTCCTACCCCTAAATTGTACTTGTTCAAAAGAAAAATAAAAAATTACGGTCGGAACTAAGAAAAAAAAAGGCAACACAAAAGATTTAGGTAGTTCTATTGGCAAAGTCAAAACAAAGACATCAAAAGAAAACAGAATATTTTCGAAACCGAAACCCAAATTTCCCAATAAAGTAACAATTAAACCCCAACACTTATATGTTTTGTAGATTAATTTGAACAAGAAAAAAAAATGGTAAGTGGCATGCCTTTTATCAAAACGTGGAGAAATTAAATTTCAAAATACGCGTAAATTGACTCACGAATTTTCTAATCATTAAAAAATATATATATATACATGATAGGTAGATAGCCATTCAAAAGAGAATATTTTACAAGGTCATTGTGGTCCAATTTCCAAACTGTTACTTTCTTATTCCCATCAGGCCATCACTGTCAACCTTAAGCATAATCCCCCAGCCACATTGCACAAAATTCCGGGGCTTAGTTTAATTTCCAAGTGGTTTCCCACACCTTTTTCCGTTTCATATAAACTGCCCTTCACCATTTTTCCACTGTGGGTTATGCATACGAGCATGCAACTTGCTAAAACATTTCAACCTCATTACCCCACTCCCTAACTTGCTAATGAATATGAAGTGTTGATCGATCCTAGCTTCTCCAGTACTCCTTGCACCTTAAATGTAACAACATATACCTTGTATCATTGTTTCTGATTTTGTTATAAATTTGAAAAGCAAGTACTTCATACTCTATTGGATACCCAAAATTTTTGAGCGCATAAATTTTGGCATCAAGATCTATAGGCATGAAGAACTAATTCTCATTGCAATAGGAAGTTAGTGTCAGTTTGGAGTAGTTTCTAAAAGATATATTCTTTACTACAAAGCTGGAAGCTGTGTTGAATGCAATTTTATAAAAAAATGCTTTTAGTTTTTTTAAAAGTTATTTTCATTTATTATTGTTATTTAGAGGAAAAAATGGTTAGAAGTTAAAGTTATTGGTAGCTTGTAGAGCACAGCCCTTTACTAATAGGTTTCTAATTAGATTTATTTTTACAACATTTCAAAATTGTTTATATGATTATTTTATTTTAATTAATTTATAACTCAACTCTTTTACAAAAGCTATAACTAGGTTAGACAGACTTGTTATTAATTAATTTCTACATTCAAGTAGTCAAGTAACAAATGCAAGAACTATTTGGACAAAATTAAGCTTGTTAAATCTCTAATTCTCTGCAAAGCTAGCTGTCGGTAAAGAAGAGGAAAACAAGTAAGCTTAACATATATGATTATGGATGGATCAATGGAGATATGAATTTAATGGAATGCTGCTATCCACCCAAAAAATAAAATAAAATAGAATAAAATAAAATAGAATGATGAATGAATCAATGGAGAATTGAAGACGTAAACTTTTGAAACACTAAAAAAGAATCTTAAACGAGGTGGTCCGTTTGCCCTAAAATTGAAGTGGACGGAGAATTTCAGAATGATTCCTCCCCGACTAGAGAAGACTTTAGAAAATGCTTTACTTTCATGAATACTACTATTTGTATTAGTGTGTCCTACTTGAACACAATCTGGGGAGATGGTTGGAAAAGGGGTATCCATCACAGCCAACTAGTCAAGTCAATATAAAGAGTACAATACGCCTATCACACCAGTTATATAAGACAAGATTAATGGGTTACTAAGCAAAAATATCAGTAGGGCCGGAATTTAATTAGAGGCTGAAAGTTATGTTGGTCGAAAAATAATCTCAGTTTTGGCATCGGAGAGAATATTAGCCGCAGATCTTTCGAAAATCTCAACGGCCAACAAGATTAATACTCGAGATATTTTTTCTGCCAATGGTTTTGGGTCCCAAATCCTTCTTCCCTAATTAGTAATTATCCTTGTATAAGACTTCATCTTCTTTTGTGTTTTGTCCACTTCATGGCCTGCATTTAATTTGATGAGCTGTTTACTGTTAATGAGTAGAAATGGATTGACATGATTAGAAGCAACTTTGTTATGGGCTTCTGGCTAGCAATAATTGGAAGCAACTTGAGAAATAGGGAATAGCTTTCTTTT